AGGTGTGGAATGCCCCAAACCCCAATACTATACAATCTCAAATTAGCAAATGAGGGCAACCTCGCACACTTACATTTTACAGCAACTTCACGTAAATCCGAAAAACTGCTGACGCATATCGTAGAATTTTTGCTTCTTCGTTATCTTCTTCTTCTCTTTTCCATCCGTCAGTACAACGAACAAGTCATCAACATATGTAAGAACAGGTTGTTCATGTTTTTGCGTTTTTATGGGCCGATCAATCTGTTTTGCTGCCCTTTTAGTTTACCGCTACGTTCGCAGTTTTGAAAAATATTCAGAATCTTATAGACAAGTGTGACCGAATTTAGTATACTCTTATGGCATTTAAGAGAGACTGATTAGCTGATTGAAGCTGAGATGAGAAAGATTAAACATTAAATTTGTCGTTGCCGGTTAAAATGGGAAGATAGCAGCATTTAATTTAGAAAGCTTAATAATTAAACAGTTAATCACTTATTCGACAATACCTATCTATTTCCAGCTTCTATAACAATTCTTTGGAGTCTACCATCTGCATGGTATGGAAGTTCTTCAATAAATATAGGGGTATATGCATGGATTTAAAAATTAAATTGCTATGCATATGTAAGTCGCATTTTAAAAGAATCTGCATGCCAATATTGGCGATTCTTTTTATCATACTTTCGTAAATACCAGACGAACATAAAGTTATTTTGTCATGCTGACATTCCTTCTTAGGATTGAATGTTTCATAAATCCTAACTATTTCGTTATGCCCATTGGACAAAAGGCACACATATGATGTTTGGCTAAATGATGGACAAATGCTTCAAGATGCTTCAAGGTTTTGCTCTGCCGGGGTCAATAAACCGAAATGATACTGGAGTGAAGTTAACAATTTCAGATTATAGCGCCTATTCCTGATCCTAAACGAGATTTGTAGTTCCGGTTTAAGTTACAGGCCACCGGCAGTCTTTTTGGCGATTCCAGTGTCGTGCCGGAGTAAAACTTGTCTGATTGAGGAACTGATCAATACGATTTTGTTTATCATCAGCTGGCATGGCTAAGGCTGCTGACATCTAACGGGCGGTCAAACAATCAAAGCGGCAAACGCAAAAAAAGCAACACGCGTGGCGAAATCTTAAAATAAAACATCAATTTATAGTGCTGGCAAAGATCTTTCATTTCCGCCTAGACGTTTAGAATAGAGTTCGAAACAAGTTTCGTTGAAATGCCTGCGCAAAAAGCAAAAAGTCGAAACTACAAGTCAAGTCAAGACAATGCAAAAACAAATACAGATACAGATACATGATTTTATGTATCTATAGAAAATTTACTAAAATGACTAAAATGACGCGGTCTGCAGACGCCTTAGCCCCGAGTCACAGTCTGAGTCTCAGTTTCGGCCTCAGCCTCGTTTCTTTTTCTGTCTTAACACAAAGACGAATCGTCATCAAAAAAGATAATAATAAAAAGAAATCAATTTTCGCTACATACTCGCACTCTCACACGGAAGCCTTTCAATTAAATTGAATTGGCGTGGGAGGGCAGATCGAAGCGTTAATTGAATTTCCAGAACTCATACAAATCTCGGCAGTAATATCGTAGCATAAACAAGCAATTGAAGCAACATTATGCGCATCAAAGAACGCCGTTTGTTTGCTCATTTGTTAGTTGGTTCATTGGTTTGGTTGGCTAGCGATTTTTTATGGCGGCACTCGAAACCGTTCAAGTACGCCGCTCCGTCTGAGACTGATAATCACGAATCAAGTTCATGGCTTCATTAAATTATGGTATACGTATAGTTCTGATAGTTTTTTGTGCATACGTCCAAATCAAGTCCAAGTCTAAACAAATAAAACTTAAGTGCTGGCTATGAATGCAATTAACTTGGCCCAGATAACGTATATGCGGCCAAGAAGGTTGGGGAGAAATGGGGGCCTATCACTTCGTAAGACATGTGCTAAATTTTAATCTACTCTCCCAATTAAAACGCCCACATTCTGATACGAACTTATTATAAAATGGCAACGTTGCTCAATGCGGACGGCAGGTGTTTTTATTTGACGCATACTCGTACCACTTGGTAGCCACATTGGCTACTTATATTACCTTCTAAGAATGCCGGTTATCGGCGTATGAAAGAGTTCTCTTTATGACTCCACCACTTGTTTGAAAACAAAATATATCATTTATAATGGCATCGAAAGGACCAAGTTCATGTGATATGCTTCCATTTCTTTGCTTAGTCTGATATTATTGCTATTTATACCCTGTACCCAAAGGGTACAAGGGTATATTAGTTTTGTGCGAGTGCACATGGAACACACAGAAGGAGGCTTGGTAGACCCCACAAAGTATATATATTATTGATCTGCATGACAATCCGAGTCGATATAGCCATGTCCGTCTGTCTGTCCGTCTATCTGTCTGTATGAACGCAAGGATCTCCGAAAGTATAAGAGCTAGAATAACCAAACTTGGTATACAGATTCTCCTGAGACCGAGAAAGGACGAGTTTGTTCATTTTTTCTGATTTACCCCCCCACTCCCCCCCTATTACTGATTTTCTATAACTCCCGTAATTCTTGGAATTTTGAACTAAAATTTTGTAGTCACATTAGGTTAGTAATTATAAATCCGTATACCAAGTTTCATTATGATAGAATGATCGGAAAGAAAGTTATAGCCATATAACCAGGCCCAATGCACACATACATACATATGTACAAGTACACAAACACGCATAAGGCACGATTCTGATGTAAATGTAAATGTATGTATGCATGCATGGAATATTTTATATTTAATTAGTTAATATTTAGTTAATTAATTAAATTAATTTAGTTAATTAATTAAATTAAATTAATTAATTAATTTAGTTAATTAATTAAATTAAATTAATTAATTAATTAAATTACTTTTTTGTGGGGTGGTACAGGGTATTTAAGAGTTGAGCCTGCTCGACTTTAGCATTCCTTTCTTGTTTTATTATAGATAAGGCTGTAAGTATTAAAAGTACATGTAAAAAAATTTATTTCATTTTTGTTTTACTTACTCTGTTTGAACTAATAGTTCCTCAGCTAAATCCGTTATCTTAAATTAATTTCTGCACATAATTCCCACTTAATGAAATGATTTCCCCATATTCGTTCCACTATAGCTATTAAGGAACTAAACTAAACTTGTTTAAATTTATGAACATGTTCTGCGGAAATGTCTACCTCTGAAGCTTAATTTAATAACTTGATCTTCATTCGAACATAAATAAAGACTTTCTACAGTTGCGATAGCAATGAATTCCTTTTTTTATTGCACTAATATAGAATGCTTTTCTGCATTTAGTGCAAATATAAAATGGAAGATTTGCCCATAAATATTACCTTCATTTCACATCATTCCCTTGAATGATAGAGCTAGCAAAGGGTAACTTTTATACGAACAATCGATTCTTTAGATTTATGATAAGTTGTACCAAAAAAAAAAGTATCTGAGAGGAGTGAAGAGCTCTTAATTATACTATGCTGCACAGTTGCTAGCTTAACAAAAATTATAAATGTTGTGCTTCTTTTAATGGCTTTTAAGTTGCCATGGAAAACATTTCACTAAAATTATAATAGTCTCAAGGGTATTAAAATATATATTAAATCTTAACAATAAGATAACACAATCAATATACGAGCTAACAAATACCTTGCAGTTAAAAAACAATAAATAAACCAGCAATAAAACTTGGTGGATTGACACGCCAAGACCCTAAATACACATAAACGAAGTTCATACTTGTATGTGTCTTAATACTTAATGTATTGTCACCAATAAAGGCAACCTAACCACTTCGAGGCTTGCAATATAGGGTTAGAATTAGAAAAGATGGCATTTCTGTTTTCTAATACAAGTATGTGTGCCTCAAAAAAGCCATAGTCCTCAGTTTTTCTTTTGTGCGTATACCTTGACTATAAGTATTTCGCCCAGTGTACAATCCAAAACCCTCCTGCATACAATTTGAATTAAATGCCGGCCTTGCTCTTGGATCGCCGATTTCAGTGTCGGTGGCGTTATACGATCGGTTGAAGATTATATTTAGAAATTGGCAACAGGGAAAGCTTATCACATTTATAGCTGCTTATAAACTTTTCCATTTCGATTGACCGTTGGGCTGCCCGACTCTTGTTTTATCAATTCAGCTCCCGTAAATAAATAGACGATTGTATTTGTTGCATAATCAGGTATTATCTAAATACAATTTATTTATTATAAATAATTCTCATTTCTCACAAGCATTATCAACGTTAGTAATTTACAGTTTGTGGTTGCAGTTTTGAATGATTTTTTGATTACATAGAGCAACATATCAGCAACATGAACTATATTCTTACAATTCATTGATTTTCATGTTGCTGGGGTCCATTAACACTGATAACACGGATGCAGATACAGATACAGATACTTTTACAAATACAATAACAATTTCGGAATATTGAGTGCTTATTTTTGTTTCGTTTTGTTTATTCATATATTGCAATTTAAGAAATTGAATTTCTTGTACTTAAACAGCAAATTATTGTTTGCATTTCGAAATTTTTGTTTTACTTTTGTTGTTGTTGTGTGTGTGTGTGTTTGTTTGATTTTGTAATCTAGTCTAGAGCAGTATAGAAATTATAGTTAACATATAACAGTATAGGTACACAGGTAAATCAAACTACAGACTGAGAGAGAGAGAGAATATAAACAAATGATAACATTGACTTGACGCTGCCATGCATGCGTGCCTTGCATGTTGAGTATACGCAGTGTTGGTGGCGGGCCTGGCCCAGACTTAGCTCGCGACCAGGGCCGCCGGGCAACCCCATTGCTAGACTTGTTTTATATTTATTTTTTGACTCTTAGGTACCACAGCTTAAGTGAAATATACAAATGGAAATTTTCACACCCAATCCATTTGAAAGAAATTAATTAATTAAACATCAAGAGAGGCAGAGAGCGCTACGTGTTGAGGAATGCTGCGTGTCTGTTTGTTTTTTTTTTTTGTTTGTTTGTTGCTTTGCTTTACTTTACTTTGTTTAACTTTTCGCTTTGCGCCCCGATGCCAGTACACGTGTACTTAAGAGGTATATACAAATATGTGTATATTGCATGATCTGTTACAGTTAAATTTTGTTTTCTTCCATTTCGTACCCGTCAACCCAAATACAAAAAAATTACGTGTACTTCTTATTGATGTTGCTGCAGTTGCAAGCAACAAACCCACCATTCGCAATAATACATACAATAGTTACCGTTTACATCATAATCAGTTTACACATTTATACAATTATATACTTGCAATACTTAGCACCCCCTAAGAACCCGCCCGTGAAAAAACAAAATGGTTTACATTACATTACACCCCCCTTCACATGCAAAACATACAGAGTTGAATCCTAAACGGGTCCAATATCACTTTGGTATCTGGCAGTCAAATAGTTGGCCGCCTCTGTCATTTGTTCCAGGCACTGGTACAGACCATTCAGATGTCTTCGACAACGTTTCGCCAGCTCGGTCGCCTTGTCTCCGCTGGCTTGCTTCGATTTCGATTTGCACTCCTCGATATCACTGCTGGAGCTGCTGGCGCTGCTGGATACATCACTGCTCTGCGCATTGTCGCTCTTGTTCCCATCCGACTCCAGGCCAGAGTCGTTCTCATTGGATATATCAGAGTCCGAGTCGCTCATGTTGCTCACCGATGTGGTGGATGCCATCGAGGCGGTCGAGGTGCGTCGCACATGACCTTTCGCTGCTGTGCTGCCACCATTGTTACGATTACCGCTGCTTGTGCTGCTCGACTCAGTCTTGGTCTCGGCCTCGGCCAGAGTCGGCATCTTACCGCTCAGTTGCTCCGTCTCATCACCCTCGTCCGCCTGTTTGGCCGTCCAGAGCAGATCATTTTTGAGCGCGTTCAACATATTGTAGAGATTGAACAGCTCGGAGGCGTTAAGAAAGTCTTGAACGTTTTTCGATTGTGCCGCCCCCCGCTTGCCCTGTGCGCTGGAGCTTTGTGTCAACTGATTGGCGGTTGTGTCTTTGCCAGTTGCAGGTATAATGTCAGAGCTATCTCCGATCTATGTTATACAAAAGAGAAAGGGGAAACGGAAAAATTAAAAAAATGTTATAGCAAGTTATAAGGGGAGTGTATTTTAAACAGGTCTAACTAAGTGCATTGTTCAGACTATAACGAGCATAAGTTAAGAACATTTTATGGACTATACTCGTAAATAGGTAATTACAATTCTGGTTTCATTTTATTATGAAAGCCAGTAAGTCTGCTGCGTCATGATCTACACGCAAATTTTCGCACTTTACGATTTCACCAATTACGTCAACATTTACACTATACTAGCAGCTTTTCCTTCGCCAATCAGACCAAACGAGAAATCACCAATATTGACATTTGGGAAGGTTATATTTTATTTTCACATTTGTATTTAATTTCTATCACTTATGTGAAAATATTTGCCTGGCCGTAACTTTAGGCAGAGGAGAAAACTGTTTAGAGTAGGAACTTAACAATAGAAATTGCTTTAACCTACCTGCCGATCCATGAGCCTGCATGGCACCAGTATGGTATCGTCCATAATGTTGACAGTTTTGACAAACTTCTCCATTACGTTGACGATACTGTCTTTGGAGAATTGCTGCTCGTCGTGGCGCGCAATGCGTCGGAGGCAGTTTCTGCAAACGAAAAATAAAGAAAAAATGTTCAATATCAAATTTCTGATTGAAAATTTTTCGAAAATATATGTACATATGATAGGGACAACGATTCCGCATTAAGAATGTTTTAAGCCACTTTGCGATAGCACGACGGGAAAAACCAGCTGGTCAACTGAACAAACAATAGAGATAGTGATTGGATGGCTAAAGTCAGGTAGTGTAGGTACACTACCTAGTGTATAGACGACGTCTCCAACCAAATAGCACATTCAAATTTCTAAACGTGTCGTCGTTAAGTCTGCGATATTCTTTAAAGACTTCCGCCAACGTTAGTTGTTTGGCTGCTGAGTTGGCTTTAGCGAGTTGTTGTATCATTTATTATTTCTTTCTATTTTGGCAACATCTAGCGGACGCACACACCCAGGTTGCTGTACAACGTGGCGTATTATAAATATGAAACGATTTTTATGCAAATTTATTGAGCGCTGCCTGTTGGCCGTAAATTGAATTTAAATTTGTTGAAGAAAAAAAAACTGAACACCAAAACCTGTTGTATGCTACACCCGTGTCTGCTGCGGTCTTGTTGTTGTTAGTTAAAAATAAAAATAAAACTAGCAAATGACACGCGACACGCGGCAATTGGCTTGCCTGCAGGCAGCTATCAAATTTGAAGTACGCGTGGCATCTTAAGCATAGAAAGCAGATAAAGGTTATAATACGAGTTCATATTTCGTTAGAATAGAAACTCTGTATACTCTTTAATTTATATATTTGATCATTTAAATAGGTAAAATTGAATATTAAAGTTCAAGAGGACGCATTTAATTGTAATCGTCTGGATATAATTTAAGAACTGCCATGACTATCAATCTATTACATTGTACCGAGATTTATCATTTGAAATATATGCATATCTATGTAAAGGCTGTCCGGCTCTGAAAGCAATTACCTCAAGATCGAAAAACAATAAAGTACACATTGTTATTTATAAATAGCCCTGACAAGCACCTACTCAACCAATAATTAAATTATATTAAAAAAATACTGCTAGTGTAGAAGTAAGAATAATTTGCAAAAACCTATTGTAATTTCAAAAGCGTGCAATCGTTATCTTAAGATAAATGATAAATAATTTCAAAATTTTTAGTGTCAAGTTTGTTCCTCAGTTTAAAAGGTCATTTATTTCTCTGTTCAATTCAATTTCAATTCAATTCTTGCTGTAAATGTCGATGAACTATTTAGAAATTTTCGATCCCTTATCGTATAATCCCCCTTTTGCCAAATTCATGAATAAAGCAATAAAATGTTCACAAAATTGGCAAAAACTTGAATTTGTGACAATAAAAGCGTGTGTCTGTTTTCTCTGAAATACAACTCGTGCAGTCGTTAAAATTACACAAGCCCCATCATCATTATGAGCACCTTAACCCCCCTGAGTTGTTGCTGATATTTTATTATTCCTTTTTTTTGCAAAGGCGTAATCGCTTTCGCACGTGCGTCTTACACATTAATGGAAATGGAAAGGTCTTGATTTATAAATAGGCGTCACTAGAGACGACTAGGTATTATGCAAGTCCCCATTTAGAGGTCGGGATAATGTGAGACTTACAGCTGTGTTAATTTTATTGGCAAATTAAGAATCGACGACTTGACAGCCATTAACCCCAGTTGGTATGTAAGATGGGGCGTGCGCCGGAACGTCTACGCGCTGGTTACACATTCCAGCCGTTCAAAGGTTACCAGCACTGCGCATTGGACTTATCACAGCAACAACAATGTCTAGAGCCAGACGCACTTGAAGTTCTGTTATCTGTCCAAAAGTCTAGCTGCCGACATTCTCATAAATTGTTTTACAATTTACAATTAAACAAACGGAACGGCCCATCTGGTTTAGATTGTGAGCTCGTTTTGTTTAGTTCTTGGTTTATACTTTGCCCGGTTTGGTGGTGAAAGAAAATTGATTGTTGATATATTCAGTGCCCCACGCGTGCTTCTCCCTCTCTCTCTTTCTCACACTCTCACTCTCCTACTGGCACATACACAATCATATTTATAGCGTTACAACAACTTGTCTGGCATTGGGTAGGGGTTCCCACGTGATCGCTGCATGTTCAACGTTTGGTTGACCGACTGACTGCCTGACTTGCTGGCTGACTGCCTGCCTGCCTGACTGACTGACTGATATGGCAGCTACAATGGCGGTTTCTGGGCATCAAGGTTTTTTTCCACTGGCATGGCATGCAGCGAATACGTATCCAATGTTTCATGACTAATTGAGCTAATTGAATGTTGAAGCTAAGCAGAGAATCTACACCTGTCATCGTCGTCTATTTGCAAAAATTGATAATACTTGTATAATCTCAAGTAGTTTAACCCCAGATTTTAGTGTAGAAAAAGTTCTTGTCATGGCTTAGCAAAAGTTTCCATTTATGATTTCTTTTTTAAAACGCAATAAATAAAGCTCTCTTATCATTTATCAGCAAAACTTTCAATTTCTATATATTCCTAATAGCCTAGCGAATAACTGAATAGTTTTTTGGAACTGAGAACTTACCAGTATTGATTTCACATAATTTGATCGGATTTAGATGGAGACAGGCCTAAAATTCTTTAACAACCTGCTAACAGAAAGCAATGACTTTAAATGTTTTTTCAGATCTTTCTTCTTACATTATATACAAGTATTACAAATTCCAATCGCCTTGTTATATTAACAGATACCTAATAAATATCTGGGGACAAAACGCTATCTTGTTAGCGTAGGGTAAATCTGAGAATACCCTAACTATACCTATTATACTGACTACATCTGTTCACTATTGCGAACTATTTAAATAGCAAGCTCGCAATTATCTTATCAGCAATTAGTTGGATCGCCCATTCAAATAGTCGCGCGACACTAGACCTATAAATAAATATAAGTATGTAGGGTATGTACATCGATAAGAACACGTAAATATTCCAAAGAAAGTCAGAATCATCTTCAGAGTCATTGCCTCATTTGTCGTACCTCTTTAGTAACTATTAGGTTAGGTGGTGGGGTATTTTTGATTCGCCACAGCGATAAGCGAATCATTTTCGTAGAAGGAAATCGAAATCAGGTGATATTCCGCTGTTCCCACCCACCCGCTGGCTACGGCGTAGTTGTAAAGTTGGCCATGGGCCAGTTTTACGTCAGCCACCACTTCGATATATTCGTTGAATCGGGGCACGTCGGAGGCGCCTGACAACGTTAATGACCTTTTTGTATTGCCACGACATGGCAATATAATAAAAAGCGCCTTAGTTTAAGTATTATTGTATGTATGTATTGTATATATATATTTATATATTCAACTACAATAACAAGTGCTTCCTATTGTGCGGTCTGATGCTAACAAGAAGCCGGGAGCGGTGCAGTAGCCTATCATTGAGACCAACACGCCACATTTATCGACCAATTGCAAAGCAGCGCGAGCTTCAGCCCACCATCCACTCTCCGGCCACCCCGTCTCCGTTATCTTAATATGTGCATACATATACATACATATGTATGTATATCTATCTATTGTTGCTGATGATGAGTAGGATGGACCAGCATTGCAGCGGCGTCTGTTAACGTGCTCATTAAAGGCAATTATACAACAAAAGCGGTGCCCTCAGCCACGTCGTAAGCACATGAGACCGGTGTAGACGACAGTCATGGCTAAAAGCGTGCCCACCTGCTGGAAAGCAGCTGAGCTAAGGTCAGGTGGCCTGTGTGCCGCATGTGCCACCCAAAACACACATGCTGGCACGTTTCGATGCGTCGCCGCCAATGTCGGACATGCGCAACAGCAACGAGTCCGTTATTTAGCGAGTCAGCCAACAAGCGAATGAGCAGCTGAGTTAAATGCGGCATACAACACAGAAATCAGACGATATGTTTTTGTACAGTAGAGCTTTCCTTGATCGAAAACTTATTCGCAATAGTACAATTTAGAAACTAATAATATTTATCAAAACAATACATAGCTGATAGCTTCAGAAGACCCCGACATTTATCGAAGAATGAAAACAAAAAAGTGTATACAAAACGCCATTGCTTTTGCTAATCAATTTTAACCAAGTTATTGAGGCATGACAGTGTGTTTTTTTCTGCAAGCGGTGGTGGTGGGTGGTGATTTTTTATTTTTATTTTTGCTTGCTTGGCTTGACTGGGCGTTGTGTCGTGGCAAGAGCGTAAATAAATTGCGGTTGCATCAAATTCGCTCTTTCTCTCTCTCTTTCTCTTTTGTTGTGCTCTTTAACGGGTGGCGTGATATTTCTTTTTCGGAGCTGTTGGGCAAAGAGCCGCAGCAACTGTACATGTGTGTGTATGAGTAAGAGTGGCTGTGGGCCATAATGAATGAAAACTGGACGCAGCAGCCATCATCACAGCACTGGGTCACAACAATCGTGTACTTGTTGTTGGTTTTATTGCTGCTTTTGCCGTGTGTACCATGTATTTGAGGTATTTCACTTTGCCAGTGGCCGGTGGTCCGTCAACTAACCAGCAATATTTGCAATATTGAGCAACACCTTTTCAACGCGAATTGACCAATATTTGGTTAGTTGTTTTGTTGTTATGGCTTGACTTTGCATTGCCAGCACTCTTTACTTCTATGTATTCGTTCGTTTGTTCCGAATTTTGATTGCTTCTTCAGCGAATTTTAGCTTTTTGCACAGTGGAGCAAAAATTGACAACCCAAAAAATAAACATTCGACATTTGTGTGAGTGTGGGGGTGTACTACGGACATGGCCTCGCAGGGACGCCAACGCAACGAATTAAGTTTCAAAGTTACCGGAGCGCAGTCTTAGAGGGGATTGGGGAAAGCATACAATAATCAATAAACAGCCGACGTCAATTGATATTGTCGTTATTATTTATTTAAGCCAGAAAACAGGTATTCGTGTTCATTTAATATTCTATGGAAAACGTCACCTCATTTTTACCTACATATAAGTGAGCCAGGGTATGGTTGTTACTCGTAATGTATTTTTATTTTTATATACATACATACACATAATAACCAACATAAATGAAGATTTACATGCTTACGTCAATTGCCAACTACCTATGTATGTGGTGAATCAGAAGTAAGGTGTGAAGGTACTTTTTAATTTTGTAAGGAGGACGTCAATAGTTTTGCGGTCGCAGCCTTTTTTGCCGGTCGTTAGCGATGAGTAATGTGCAGGCCATATCAGTGTAATTAGACCTCGCCCGTGGCTGATTAGAGCAAGTGCGATAAAACATCTGATCCCATCCCACCACCACTGTGAAAGTAACGGCAGTCGTGATGGCAGTACGGCTTATAAATATGGACTGGCCAGCCCACGACAATACATACATACATACACACTTATGTATGTACATGTACAGACGCGTTTTATTAGTTTAGTTTAAACATTTAAACATATAAACACACAGGCACACATCTATATGTATGTATGTACATACATGCACCTATGTATCTAGCATGGGCAGCCAGCACACTGTGACAATATGTATACTTTATAAGCATGCCTGGTGTATGTATGTATGTATGTATGCATGTATGTAGATACTCGCATGTGTGTGCAAAGCAGATTGTGTCATATTAGCAGCGGCAGCATTGGCTTGCTTTTTTATACCCTTCACTGAATAGTGTAAGGGTATATTGTGTTTACTGTACAGGTTTGTAACAGCCATAAGAAAAAACTTTAAGCCACAGTTAAAATTGCAATACCGGTCCTGTCAGATAAGAACGATATGATTTCGAAAGCGATTTTGCAGAAACAGCTTTTGTAACTTTAGCGAATAAGTACACAATTTTTGCTAATGCAAAATTAGATATTTCAGGCACAACAGTGTCTATAATTTATAAACCTTGACCATGAAGAAACTACATTTTTAAAGGGTATATATCATCGGTGCAGACGAAGTTAAATTCTTAGCTCGTTTTCGTTTTTTCTTTCGTGGATAATGATGGCGACTGCTGTGTCGTCTGTCCATGCCGGCTGCTTGCCTGCCTCGCTGCCTGCGTGCCTAGTCAGCGGGTACACGGGTCTTTCGTGCACATCGTACGATAAAATGTTTGTATCTCGTTTTCGGTGCAAACGAAAGAGAAAACGGCCAGAGTGCCAACAAGGGGTGCGGTTGAGGTTGCGCCGCTCAAACTTTGCTCTTTCACAAAACTTTATGACTTGTTCAATTTAGCAACACATTTATGATTGAATTTAAGCCAACACTAATTTAAGCACTTTAACTAGGAATGTGTCCGTTGTCCGAGAAGAAAAATAAACTGGATGCTGGAATGCTCGAATACTCACCGACTAGTCTCCAGTTTGGTGAGGTCTGTGTATCCGCTCATTGTACTGTATTTTATTTTTGTCTAGCTCTGGACAACGGCTTTGGGCTTTGAATGGCGATGCTGAGCGTGTTAGCTGGCACCGCAGAGTTTATTGATAGAAATTTTGCAATTGCCTTTTCTTTTGTTTTTGGTATTCTGCACACACACACGCGCACTTTCACTCGCCTTATGGTTTATACGTATTCTTTTAGCTAATTGCCATCGACATCAACTACATATGTATATTTGTATGTATATTGGTCCGTAGCCAGCGGTGGGTGATGATTACGAAATCCTCATACATATATCGTTGTTACAGGTAGTTAGAGTTACTAGGAGCAGCTAAGCTGATAGACTAAGGGGACGGAACGACGCGTCTCTTGGCTAGAAGGCGATTGCGAATTATGTTCGATTTGATAAAAGTCGCTGCCGTTTTATATGCCAAAAAGTTCTCGGGCACACGTAGAGGTGGCTGCTGCTGTTCGAGTCTATTAATTGTTGTATTAAAAATTCTAAACAGTTTATTCGCGTACACCCGCTTTCATGACCGTCGATTAAGAGCGTCGATGAGTAACTATAACTGATTCCTTTCCTCGTCTTACCAAGTGCTCACGACTAGTTGCAGCGAGTAAAAATCGGAACCAGTGAATCCGGCGGCCGCACTAACCAGTCACAGCGAATGAGTTTCAGCGAGTAGCGGAAAAGAAATCACATGACACGTTACATTTTAAAATGCAATTTTGAGAATATTTTTTATTAATCTTTGTGTTTTAATTTAAGTTGTATTTATATCGACTTTTCGTTTAGCGTCACATTTGCAGATTAGAAAGAACAATCGTATTTCATTGATTCACAATAAATTGTATTTGTGATTTTGTATTTTCTTAATTGTTTTTGGTTAGCTACAAAGAAGTTGCAAAAATATTTTACAATAACAATGAAAGAAGTACAATAGAATAGTTAGATATATAGCTTTTTGAAGAGTAGGTGTTAACAAAGGCATAAGATAGTAGACTTAAATTGAAGCGGATTTATTTAACAAATATATATGTATCTTTTAAGCAAAGAGAGAAGATTTTAGGTTATTAGCTCAGCTATTGCCTTTTGTTTGTATGGTGTGGAGTGTTTTTTATAAATTGTTTATTTAAATAAATTGAAACCACTTGAATATACTTATTCGAATCATGTGGACATTTGAACAAAAACGCTGTGCCATTTTAAGTGCTGTGGTCATCATCGGTATTGTTATCTTAATTTCTGCACATTTTAATAATATTTTTTGATTTAATTGTGGACTTAGGCTATTTGTGGCAGAGAGAAAGAGAGATAGACGTGTGTGTAAAAATCGGGATAGGTAAATTATTTAGTATTGATATTGCTTTAATTGTTCCTGCCCCTGCTGCTGCTGCTGAAGAGATCGGCCTAATTCTTAATTCATCAACATCATACATCTTACTTCAAATTTGAATTTATTTCACCTAACTACAGCGTGCATGTCGCCTATAAATCTCATGAACTTCAGCTTCGGCTCGTTAAAATGAATTAGTTATGAGATTTCATGTCAATTGTCAGTTGGTTGGTTGAGCTTAAATGTCTAAGCATTTTGGTTTTTGTTATATTGTTATAATCTGAACATTTGAACGCGCACAATAAAATTTGATAAAGTTTATAGCATTTGATTTATGTACGTATGTTTGTTTGAATGCATGAATGCGATTTCGATTTTTCTTTTTGTTGTAAACAAAAATGCTGCTGCAACGGTTTTCGATGACGTCTGCTAAATTTTACATTCATTCGCTTATGTTTTGCGACATTATTGTTATAGATATATTTACTTTTTATTCATTTATATTTGATATAAAAAAGAGTAAAAAGACGCACAGACATTTAAAGGCTGGCGCCAAAACTTAACTGTTAGCTTCAGTATAAATATGTATAGTATGTATTTTTATAAAATTTGCTTTTCAAGATGTGATGCGTTCGTTTGTCTCATTCTTTCATAATTCGTTTATTTAATGCCCAATATGTATGTATGTATGCTGTATGTATGTATATAATGAATAATTGTAGGTTGAGTAGAAAATTGGAAGAGAAAAATTTAACATACACATATGCTAAGTTACATTATAATATTGTTGCTTATCGTTTTTACACTGTTCGCATTTTTCATTTAACTTCCTTGGTGTTTAAATTTTTTATCAAGCCGCTCACCCGTCTTCACAGACACCTAATAAATAGTAATTATTATTTTTATTTTGCATTGATTGGTTACCACACGTGGGACGTAAAATAATAAAATGAGAAGATTTCAACCTTTTGTCCAGAGAACCTATTTTGACGATGTTTTAATGCGTTTTTTTAAATACTATATATTATATTAATGCTGCGTACACAGAGAGTGACAAGCAAATTTATAAACTCAAATCATGTGATATTTAATGCATACAAGTAGTTGTTCGAATGCATAGGCATATAGGGATGTGTGAAAAATATCTAACGCGAGTGTACAATTTTTCTTTTAACTCCAAACTGCGAATAATTTTTGCTTTCGATTAATGTGTGTGTTTAGTTTGTTTTTGTTGTTGTTGTTAAAGTTACATACATAATAAAGTGTAGGTTTAACTTTGAGACTTTGCACAGCTTTAATATTTATGTTGTATATATATTTATACATATATATATATATATATATATATATATGTATGTATATAATTCATCATATTGGATCATTTATGTTCCTGTTATCTTACAAAACTTGAGTAAAAAACTGTACTTTATACATACATACAAAAAAGCGATTTAAAAAAGAACTAATTAACTAATTGAGTGTAAAATTGTTTATCGAAAAGTAATGCAGAAATATTACGAATTTACTTAAAGTAATTAGACTTTAATTCGATAGTTAGAAAGAGAGGGAGAGATAGCTTAAGCAACTTAGTGGTGTAGCATAAAAGTTAAAGTCAGGTCGGAAGTATAGAGATGCATTATATTCTTGGGGGGATCTGGAAGGGACTTGGCGTGGATTAGTGGCTGCCTTTGCTACTGAAGAGCGTATAATGAATCAGTCTTTGCGCGTCACAAGTATCAAAAAGGAAACGATGCGATACATAAATACAATATACAAACAACATCGAAATTGATCATGCATGGAATTTGGCTGCGGTGTGGGGCGGATTTTTGGGTGTTTTATAGGCATACAAACTTTACAAAAACTAGCTAGATGTTGGCGTTGAAATAATTTAACTAAACTATAGCCATAATTTATGCATACACATATGTAATTTCTTTAAATTGTATAGATTGTAAAACAAGTTAACAAGTATTCATGTAGCGTTTGCTTCTAGCTTAGCCGATTTTCGCAGCTGCCTTTTGGTTTAGAGTTAATACAAGAGAGCGTAGTATATAAATATAGTATAAATATGTTCGTATGTATATGGTTATCTTTAATTGGTGCGTTTTGGTTTAAAGTTACAAAAGTTCTTGGAGAAGCGAATAAAAATCTCATTTTGCGTATTTTTTTTAATATACATACTTGTACATACAATAAATAATTTATAATTATAATTTCTTTAAAGATCAAATACAAATGATGTCCGAGAACAGCTAGTTGCCATCCTCCGTTTTTTTTTTTTTTTTGTTTTACAAAAATACATTATCATAAATATATTTATATGTATTGTATATGTATATATGTATGCAATTGTTAATTAATTGTCTTGTAAATTAACGTACGATGCTTGCATTCGACAAATGTTGCGCCGCCTACATATTTGCAAGAACACAAACATTAAATTTAGAATCCGATTGAGTTTCGGGCTTTGAGTTTTCATGATATAGTATGTCTTTCTTGTTGTTTAATGGACCGTCTTCTCTACTTGTTGTTCTGCGCCATCACATTCGGCGATTTGTAGAAATTTTGAACAAACTCCGATAGGCCGTAAACAGCGCCGGGTCCCTTGCCAGGACTCATGCATATAAAGTCCCCCAAACAGTGCATGTTCGCTGAAAATTAAGGCAAGGGGAGACATAATTATCATCAGCATTATAGATAATTTATTTGAAAGAGCATTTAATTACTGTTCGACAATATGGGTGGATATGAGGGAGGCGGCTTAATCCAACTGCCATCCGGTCTACGCATATGACGGCGATCCGATGAGAACTCAATGAGATATGTATCTGCGGGTATAACTCTGAAGAATCTGCAGGATAAACAAACAAAAGAATTTGGTCAAAATGGTGCCATTTATTTGATTATAGAACTTTTAAGCTATTTTAAATACCTAGTCTTTCTTATTTCTTAAAAGTACTATATATAATTTTTCAAATTTCAAATATAATCATTCCTAAACTAATTGGAACAAACCTACAAAAATGCTCGGTTATACTAATTTTTTTCAAGTAGAAATGCTCACCTGTGATGCTCTGGTCGGAGTGCCAGATCGGAACGAAATGTCTCTGTGACATATTTGTGAAAATATGTGGGGAACGGTAGGGTGGTGTCCAAATCAAAGACCAAACAGCGATTGGGTGAGGGATTGTGCATGAAGAACACATGATAGTCCTGGAAAACCGAGGGGAACATGTAGTATATTAGTGATAATTTCATTGTTGTTTTTGTTGGAAAATGTCAGTTGGTAAACCTACCCATATCACAACTTGATCATCGCCACGTCCGGCCTTTTGGCGCCACAGTGGTACAGTGCGACCCTCATTAGACACAAACACGGCGTAGCATTTGGACAGCTCCTCTGGCCGTGTCCTTTTCACCTGCTCGCATAGTTTCCAAACGTTTTCCTCACTGTTGGAGTGGTAAGAAAAAGGTATATACAGGCATATACATACATATACTAGTTATATAGTATATAAATAAGTTAATGCATATAAAATAGCGTTTTTATTAGATTTTACGACCTGTTTCGCCTCCAACTCATTTTACAACGATTTATGGCATTTGCATTGCCGGGCGCATTTAATTTCTATTAGTCTACACCGTAACGTCCCCAACCGTGTTACGACCCCACCTCCCCCTTTGTTACTCGGCATTGGCAGGCATGCCTGTAGAATTCCAAGTCCTCAAGGCGTCGTTGTTGTCCTCGTCACGAAATGCCAACAAGCATCTTGATATTTTATCAGCAACAGTGCGCGCATAGCGAGAGCTCTTTAAATTATAATAATCGATTCAAGCGACGTCATGGTTGTCGGTGTGTCGTGGCCTTTTAACTTTCGCTTTAAGCCAACTTGGCCCTATTGGCCAGCGGCATAATGCTTTAACCTATGCCTAGACCAAGCTAAAAATTTGCGTGATTTTTTTTATTTACTCGTATATATTTTTCTTTTGCATTTTTATGTGTGCTTGTTGGCTTTCAAATAAATTCCAATCAATTCTCGTGCCACACATTGTTGCTCGCATGCTTGCAACGGTTCAAAAAATGTCTGTGTAGTACAACCACACAACCCCACACAGTCAAGTGGTTTATTAGGAGGGTGCTCAGGTGGTTGCTTGCTCGTTACATTTCTGCGGAGGGTGCATGCGAATCGGACATAAAAATCAACGTGCAAAGAAATAACAATCTACCATATGCATGTACATACATACATACATATGTACATATATCAACAGTTAAGTCAGCGACTCCAACGCGACGTCGCTCAATTGGCTATGTTGAGGCTCGAGTGCCCGGTCAAAAGTCACGAGGGCGTACGCCCTTAGCACGCGACCATTGACGCCCCACTCGTTGTGATTTGAAGGGGTCAGTCAGACTAGCAACTATAATTGGTAAACAGGTAATGGCAACAATCTCACTTTCGGACCATGGGACAAAACAACAACCCACTCAAATATTCCGAATGCAAAATATAACAACTAGCCTTCTTTTTAAAGAAATTGGAGTAGACATGTAAGGAGTTATTATTTACGCATTTATATTTATCGCTTAACATTTCAAAGAAAATTCTTTATTGTAGTATCAAGAAGCTTAGAACTTGGATGGGGATTTGGTGTATTAATTGAAATTCAAAAAGCGTTTAAGTCTTCAATTCAAATAATTGTTTCTCATATAGAAACGATTCGAATTTATATTGTCTTAAAAAAGTATACAATTAAATATCAAATTAAATAATTCATTCATTTGAATTTAAAATTCAAGCTCAATTCGTGATTATCTTTGCGGATTTCCTATTGATATTTATTTAGAACAAAAGCAATATATTATGTTCTACTGTATACAGTAGTACGCACGACTACGACTATAGAGCGATTTGCGGTTTAGTTTAAATTATTGACTTCTAATATGGAATTTAAGAATCAGGTCAGGGCGTACTGAATAAACAATAAGCAAATGCTAAGGTGCGCGTAATGAGTTTGCAGATAGTTATTTTTCATAAGCTTCGTAAATTGTAAAATCAATAAGTTCTACTTGAAAAGATGGTGAGTATGGCATTGCACTGTGAAATGATTACAGGTAAAATGCATTTAATATACATATGGACCTGTTATTCAATTCTCTCCAATCGTTATCGTTCTGAAAAATCAATCTTTTTAAGATAATGTTCATTATCTTTACATTAATGCTAGCCTATTGCTTTAATCTAGAGGTCATATAAAATATTTAAAAAATCATTGAAAAAGACCAATATAACGCAAAGCTGATTTAGGGAAGGTACCTTTAAAAATATTTTTGAAACGTTTAGGTCGACTAACTCAATGTTCTTGTTGTTTGTTGATATTTGAAAAATGTACCAATTTCAATTTCAAATTGGTGAAATTCGGGAACTGATAGTAGAGGTGGAGTGGGTTGAGATAAATTGATCAACATTTTTATTGGCTTGAATACTGATAATGTAAACAACTATTAATTTGTCCCACAGTCTGATGTGCATATGGTTGAGAAGGGCTGCTCGCTGCACGAGATGAGCACGCGATGAGAACGAGATAATCGAATGTTCAGCTGTTGGTGTTGACGATGCGGCAATTGCGGTTGATATGATTTCTTTACTTTTTTTTGGGCAAATGGCTAAATGCCAGTAGTCGTCATGCCAACCAACGATGTTGTTATTGTTGTTGTTCATCTCACCGCGCTTGCCTTGCGCTGTTTAGCGGATGCTGTGCTTGGGTTGTTGTTGTGGTTGGTTTCTCAGTGAATCACTCACACGCACATGTGAGTGTGTGTGAGCAAGTCAAGTGTATGGGAGCGCGCATTGCAAATTCCACTGGAAGGAGAGGAGATGATGATGATGATGGCGATGACGAAAATGAAGAAGTCTCTGACTCCGAATCTGACTCTTACGATGAATCTGAGTGCAAAAGTGAGTGTGGGAGCATTTGTAAATTAATCAATGGACATATCCTGCGGGACAAAAATACAATTGCATGGGCAAGGGACGCAAGAGACGTCCAGTTATGTGGCGCCAAACAGCGTCGCCATTTTTTCTATATAGATATGCTCGGCTCGGATTTTGGTAGAACAATGTAAAGCTTCTGACTGCCATTAACGTGGAAATGGCCAGAGTGATCTTTGTCTCTGCCATCATCAAGTTGACACACGACCTCCTCGCGGTGCTCTCTGGGTAGCTTTCCGGCTCCATCCGGAGTTGGTAAGTGAGCAAATGTGTGCAGCGCTTTTGTGCGTAGGGCTTGGGACCCACCACATGAAAATTTTTTACTCCCAGTGAAGGACATAACAACAGCCTCGGATAAGGAACACCCAAAAGTTGACGACCCTAGCAAACGTTTAAAGGACCACGATTTAAGGATATGCACCTGGAATGTCCGGACCCTTAACAGAGGAGGTGCTACTATCCAATTGGCGGATGCTCTCAATAAAGTAAGAGCTGACATCACCGCCATCCAGGAAATGCGATGGACAGGTCAGGGTTGCTCCCAAAGAGCAGCCTTTGACATCTACTACAGCTGCCATGCAGAAAGACGCGAATTTGGATGCGGTTTTGCGGTCAGCAAGAGATTGCGTAACTGTGTCTCTAGGTTCACACCTGTGAACGAACGGCTGGCAACCATTCGTGTCAAGGCGAGATTTTTCAACATAAGCCTGATTTGCGTCCACGCTCCGACGGAGGACAAAGACGAGATTACCAAGGACGAGTTCTATGCGAGACTGGAGACAGTCTATGACCGCTGCCCCTCTCATGACATTAAAATTGTTCTTGGCGATTTTAATGCCAAGGTTGGAAGAGAGCGCGTCTTTGCCCCGACAGTCGGACAATTCAGCCTCCACGAGACAACATCCAACAATGGACTGAGGCTAATTGACTTCGCCGCAGCACGAAACATGGTGGTGAGTAGCACCAGATTTGAACACCTTGATATCCACAAAGCTACCTGGCAGTCACCCGATCGAATGACAAAAAATCAAATAGACCATGTTGTGATAGATGGAAGGCATGCATCCAGTGTGCTGGACGTGCGTACGTTCCGTGGTGTGAATATTGATTCGGACCACCAACTTGTTGCAGCCAAGGTCCGCATGCGATTATGCATGGCGAAAAATGTACGCCCCAACACGCAGCGAAAACTAGACGTCGGAAAGCTGCTAGCACAACAGACTGCCGAAGCTTACTCCGCTCAACTCTCTGAGCTGCTTTCTCAACCGTTCTCGGAAACCGATACTGGTAGCGGACTTTGGGCACATATTTCCCGCTCACTGCACACAGCCGCAGAAGATGTCATTGGTTTCCAACAGCCGCTACCGAGAAACCAATGGTACGACGAGGAGTGCCGCGAAGCCACTGCAGCGAAGAATGCCGCGTACAAAAGAACCCTGCAGACGGCGACAACGCGCGCTGTGCATGATGTATATCGGGAGAAGAAGAGGGAGGAGAGGCGGCTTTTTAGACGCAAGAAGAGAGAGCAAGAAAAGCGAGAGCGAGAGGAGATGGAGCTTTGTAGAGACAGGAACGACGCTAGGAAATTTTTCCAGAAGGTGAAGCGTCTAACACAAGGTTTTAAGCCCGCAGCGTCAGCCTGTAAGAACTCGGAAGGAAATCTGGTGGTGGACGGGCAAGCGGCACTGAGACTGTGGAGGGAACATTTCTCCAATCTTCTATCAGGCGAAGATGTTAACAATTCCGCCAGCGGAGATGACCCCACAGAACCGATCGCCGACGATGGTATTGAAGTACCGTCACCTAGCCATGACGAAGTCGAAACAGCCATCCAGCGGCTCAAAAACAACAAATCTGCGGGAGCAGATGGGCTGCCTGCGGAGCTGTTTAAGGCAGGCGGCAATGAGTTGGTAGGGTGCATGCACCAGCTCATTTGCAAAATATGGCTAACTGAAAGCATGCCTGATGATTGGAATCTCGGTGTCCTATGTCCCGTCTTAAAAAAAGGTGATCCCACGGTCTGCACCAACTATCGTGGAATCAGCCTTCTTTCCGTCGCATATAAGGTCATATCAAGCGTAGTGTGTGATAAGCTAAAGCCATTTGCGATAGCACTGATTGGGCCTTATCAGTGCGGCTTTATGCCTGGTAAATCCACCACTGACCAGATATTCACGCTACGCCAAATCCTGGAGAAAACCCATGAGTTTCAAATCGATACCCACCATCTTTTCGTCGATTATAAAGCAGCATTCGATAGCCCGAGGAGGGAACGTGTATATGCCGCACTGTCTGAGTTCGGTATCCCTGCAAAGCTAGTGCGACTTTGCAGAATGACGTTGAGCAACACTCGTAGCTCCGTCAAGGTAGGAAAGGACCTCTCCGAACCCTTTGATACCGTTCGAGGTTTCAGGCAAGGCGATGCCCTCTCGTGCTATCTCTTCAACTTCCTGCTGGAGAGTGTGGTGCGCAAAGCTGGTGTACACCGAGGCGGAACGATCTTTTTTAAAAGCGTTCAGCTTCTTGCGTACGCTGATGATATAGACATTATCAGCCGTACCAGGAGAGGCGTCACCGGAGCATTTGCGGCTATTGAGAAGGAAGCTGCAAAAGTGGGTTTGGTGATAAATGAGAGCAAAACTAAGTATATGTTTTCCTCTAGCAGGGACACGCGGCAACCAGACTCCCAGATCGCGGTGGAAAACTATACTTTCGAAATGGTGAAAGATTTTATGTATCTTGGCACCACCGTCACAGCAACCAACGATGTCAGCCTAGAAATCAAATGGAGATTAACTCTAGCCAATCGATGCTACTTCAGCCTCAGTAGGCAATTGAGTAGCAGAGACCTTTCCCGAAAAACCAAGCTAACGCTCTACAAGACGCTCATCCTCCCCGTGCTGCTTTATGGTGCAGAAGCATGGGTGATATCGCAGACTGATGCAGCAGCTCTTGCAGTGTTTGAGAGAAAGATGCTTCGGAAGATCTTCGGTCCCATACGCGTTGGCGACGACTACCGCATACGATGGAACAGCGAACTGTACGAGCTCTACGCTGACATTGACATAGTCAAGCGAATAAACATCCAGCGGCTAAGCTGGCTAGGTCATGTCGTGCGTATGGAAGAAGACGCTCCAGCGAAAAAAGTTCTCGATGCGGATGTTGGGGGGAGACGACGACGGGGGAGGCCTTGCCTACGTTGGAAGGACCAGGTAGAGAACGCACTTACTACCTGCGGAGTGACCAACTGGAAGCGACGCGCGCGAAGCAGAGGCGCGTGGAGAGCTGTGTTACGTCAGGTCATAGCCCGATAACGGGTTTGAAGACCAGTCAAGAAGAAGAAGATATGCATGTGTGTGTGTGTGTTGGGGCTAAGTACATGAGAAGCTTTTATGTTATTTCCTTTGCTTTTCTTTTTTATGTTGTTGTTGTTTCTTTTGCTGTTGAACATGAAATTCATATCACGCGGATGATAAAGCGCCTGCCTGGGCCCACGACCCGCGTCATGTGGAGCCCCTATATCACATAAGCTCGCCGCACAACGCCGCCGCCATTTTTGCAATTAGCATTTTTAAACATTACGCCAACACACACCACACCACACCACACTCTTTGTATGTTGGTATGTTTGTATGTATTTTGTTTAATTTTCGCGTTGGTTATTGTTGTTGTTGCTGCTGCTAGTCGTTTGTTTTATAGTCAAAACGCGCCTCTCGCATGCGGTAATAAAAACGAAACGAACCACCCAACAACACACTCCACCCCCTTCGCACACACACACAAACATTCTCATGCTCTTCTTGTTGTTGGCAGACATGACCGTTTGACCTAATTTTCGACGTCGCGCCGACGTTCGAGCTGCGCAGCGCGTCGCAGTCGCAGTCGCCGCTTCAGGAGTCATGAGCAAAAGCAGGCATGAGTGAGTAATGAGCGAATTTAAATGCGAAGCAAGGAACATCGACGAAAATGAAGCAAGAAATAAGCGCAGGATAAATGAAAAGCACGCACACACACATACAAGTGCACGCTACTTGGAAATTGTTGCCGATGTTTGTGTGTGTGTGTATGACCGACTGGCGAATGTTCCTACTAAAGAAGATAACGCACAAAAATAAAATATACATAATTAAAACAGGATATTTTCTACTGCTTGGACGTGCCTAGCCAACGACTATCATTCACAAACATCCTGCAGTGCCTCCTACACTGTGTTCAAGGTGTTAATGATATAATTATTAGTGTTTCTGCTTTTTGCGATGGAGCATTTTTTTTTTAATCTTGCTGCATATATGAGTTTGAATTGGTTCAAAATAAAAATTGTATAGAGCTTAGAATATAAGAAGGAAACAGCTCAGGTTAAACATTTACTTAAAAATAAAATATAATGAAGAATATTAATTTAAATTTATATCAGATAGTCTTGGGTATATAATTGGTGGCTTTGACGTAAGGGTTTTCAACTAATATAAATGATTTAACCGTACAGCAATCAGAAAAATAAAAAGCCGTTGTCATTTTTGATGAAAAACATATTTTTGTTTTAAAAACCATTTATAATTTATCATATTGTTTCTGAAGTCAAAAATTATCATTAAATATGGCTTCGTCGTACAACAGTGTATTATTTATTTAAGACTCGTCTACAACAGTAGTAGAAATTTTTTGTTTTACTATCGTAATCGTAATTGCAACTTCATTTAACGATCTTTAGAAGAGCATTTGCAATATGCAGAAGGATGAACTACTTTTTTCTATAGAAGTTGGGAAAGTGTAGTCATTTTCAAGATCCTCTTAATCTTTTTGGACTTTCGAAATAATGCTTTTTGATGCATGCTCCTGCAAATTCTTCGAGAACAAACCGACTGCAGGTGGCAATACGAATTGCGTAGAGAGGTGTAAATGATTTGGTGTAATGAAAAAGTTTTGTGTTTTCTTTTTGTTGCTGATATTACTGTTGTTGTATAAGTTGTTATTGTTGTATTTAGTTGTTGCTTGTGTACGGCCGCTGGCCACAACATCTACAAGTCTGTCTACCACTATCCACTCACCAGTAACAGGACACATAGGAGCAATCCGCTATTTTGGGGAACAAAAAGTCTGTGGTCATCTTGATGGGTTGCCCTCGTTGTTGCTGCTGTTGTTGAAGGTTGATGATTCAACAACGCTGTTGATGTTAACGTTGATGGTGATGATGACAGCAGGTTTCCGTTAGTTGGGGATCTCTATTCAGCTCTAGGTGTCTGTTGGGAGAGCGACGCGCCACAGTCAAGTATAAATTGTCACTAGGAATTCGGGATGTAGTTGAGTTGTTGTTGTTGGTGCAGCGGACACACGCACACTATAGTAGGGGGGCGGGGTGGTTGTTGGTTCTTAAAGTGCTGTGGATCGCTCTATAATCACTGCATAATGTGTCCTGGCCGGTCTCATCGGTTGTGTGTTGAGCTGCTAAGTATGCCGTGCACATGGATGATAAAAGCCTTGGGTGCCTCTACGTGGGCATTCGATGCAACAACAACAGAGGCAGCGGCAGCACCAACATCAATACGGCGCGCTAGTGTCGGAGACGTGGGCGGGGGGGCTAACGAGTCTGCGTCTCAGCGACGTTTCATTTTGACAGCAATGTTTTGACAAAGATGATGGTGACAATTGCAAAATTGTTGAAGCACACACACCCAGACACTCGGTGAGGCAGAGTGGAGTGTCAATAGCGTGGACCCAGAGGAGGGTGTTTGGATGCTTTGCTTTTTGTATTCCTATTTGATTGTGCTGCTTTTTTGTTTCCAGGATGCTGCAGGCATACACATAAACAGAAAATCGCACTCGCTCGACGGCTCACGACGGACGCAGCGATGAGATACCGAACGAACCGAATTATCGAAGCGTATATTTTCTTTTTTTCTTTTTAGTTTTTGTTCCTTTTGTGGATCAAATTATGATGATGCTGACGCTTTTCCTATCGTTGTCATGGGGACGTCCACATATACACACAAACTCTTGTGTATGTGTGCGTGTTTTAAGCTAAAGATTGTTGCTGCAGGGGTCTTGAGGAAGACGATGACGACGTAGACGACGACAACGACACACTTAACAAATCATAAAAAGGCACAACGAAAATTGCTTTTGCTTCTTAACTAATAATTAAAACTTTGCTGCAAGCTGCTCTGCCGCAGCGTGACTGCAATTAGTCGACGGTCGGACCTGATGTTTACTTTCGCAGTGCACAGGCCATTGATGTTAATAATAATGATGATGTTGATGGACTTTCTATAAAGTAGACACCGCTGCTTTTGTGTGTGTATGTGTGTTGTTTTTTCTTCTACTTGTATGCTTATTTTTGCTCGCGTTCCGCGTTCATCCGCTTGATGTTGTGTACGCGTTCCCGGTTCTGCACAGACTTGGAGCAAAAGTGTTCTTGACGTTGGAAGGAACAATAATAAAAATATTTCCCAACGAATGCCGTGACCGTCCGTGCACGAAGTACCGAGCGTTATAAGAGCGCCGTCAGAGCGCCAGCGCACTGCCAACTGAGAGATGTGAATGGTTGTGAGTGGGCCGGAGCTCCTTTACTTCACCAATGGGCTGAGGGTGTTTAAAATGATGAATGCAAGTCCTGTGTGCGTGTGTTTGTGCTCAGGCGCAACAATTGCGTGCCTTTTTTGCCAATGCCTTACCAGCAGTTGATAGAGATATTTCTAGTTTGTTGTGGCAGGTCTGTTTTTCTAAAACGACGTGTAAGAAAGTGGCAGCAATCGTTGTTTTTGAAAAACTATACATATGTATGTTAACTGTTCTGTGTTGACTATCTTTTTTGTCAATGTTTTATTCAAAATCAGCATCAGTTGGCCACCAAGTGAAAGTCAACATTCTGTAACAGCGGTAAGTTCAATTGAACAGTTTCTTGTTTGACTATTTTTAAGTTAAGTATATTACCTGTTTTATTCTTCTTACAGATTAGCGTATGCCAGTTCTTGCACAAAGACCTCTTTATGCAGTTGCCAACAAGTTGTGTTCATAAAATGCACATAATTAAATATATAAAACAATGCGTAATAAATGAACTGCAGAACTAATTCATAAAACTGAACTGGTGCAAAAATCACAAATGTGATAAAATGTTTAAAATCACTAACCGGGAACCATGGTCACGAACTAATTCATAAATTTGAACTAGAGCAGCGGTATGTTTAACATGCGTGCGCTGTACAATACTGGAATTCAATTTTGCGCGGCAGTCATTTGCTGGCTGCTATAAAAAGTAATTGTGTACTTCTTTTAAGGCTGGCAGCTTTGTAACGACAGTAACAGATATTTAAAGAAAGACATTGAAAATACGAATTTGTTTTTCAAAAACGTAAACAATGCGCAAAGATAATAGTATAATAAATACATCTGGAAATGTATGAATGATATATGCATGCATTATCTTATCTCAGGCAGTTACCTGAGCTAATTAATCTTGAATATTGGCTTAGATGATCGTCTTGGGAGCTGCATGGGAAATGAAAGCAAAAAAAAAAAACTTGCAAGATAAGATAAAAATTTGTGTGCTACCCCTATATGCTTTTTGATAAAAGTGTGCTATAAATTGGTCATCACATGGTAATTTAAATAAACGTGACGATATTCTATAAAAATACCCACCAACTCAGTTTTAAATAACTTTAGTTTGTTGTTAAGTTTTGTTTCATGCCTTCGCCGTCGCTAACTCATTTTATTGTGCGAATATCAGAATACCACTAATTTCTAATGAAATATTTTCGAATGGGATTCTAGGGAAGGGCGGATTTCAGATAAAATCGCATATACTGATAATGACAGTGGCAGTGACAGTGATAAGGCACTGGTCTAGTATTAGTTCTGGACTGAATGCCTATTTAAAATTTATGAGCTTGTAATGTGTGCTCTACCATTGTTTACTGATAAGCACAGTGCACAATATTAAAAGTTACACTAAAGAGATCGCAGAACAAAAACAAAGGAGTTCTCATGTACTTGTTGTTGTGTCGGCCTTTGAGTTTTGTTTGTCAGATAAACGTTTGATAAGCGATGAATCTATTAGATTTGAACGCATTGACGGCTCCCATGACGTTTCATTCTTTATCGCTTTGGCTCTCGAGTTGTCGTTGCGCATGTGTGTTGCTGGCCTGACTAGTCTGTGCATGTCTATATATATATATGTGTGTGTGTGTGTGTGTGCTGTTGTTGAGAGCGCCATCACAGAGTCCGCAAATCCGTTTAGTTTGGTGGCTCGTCAGCTCGTGGCGCGTTTAATATGGAAAGTGGTTTTCAGTTGACTTGAGTGCCTCGTGGCTGACGGATTAAACTAGAAAAGTAGTTGTCGGAGTCGCAGTTGCGGTGATTTAATCCCCCAGATCGAGCCTGCCATTTGAAACATTCGATTCGTGAGTGATTTTTTTATAATTGTTTGGGCAACTGCTCATTCGTCTCTGTAGACGTGTGCACCACACACGGATGTCTGCATTGGCTCCGGAATAACCAGTTTTGTGATGTTCTTCTTCTTTCGGGGTCACTGCACAGTTTTAGCCACAAAAAATTGGTTAATATTCGGCCAATTGCTGGCCTCAGTCTATGTCGAGGCAAGAAGCTGGTTCCATCAAATTTACATTTAAATACATACTCGTACATACATACTAGATATTTGGTGAGCGATTCTCGTTTCTTGTTTTATCAGGCAACTCGCTCTAATTTGCATTGTGCCAGTTTTATCGCGAACATACTTGTACTTATAAAGCTAAATTGAAATCTTTCGTAGCGAAGCAATGAAATGAACACTCAATTGCATTGTCGGATAGGCGGCATGCGCCCCTTTTAATTGAGACTGATTGGTTTTTAATTGATCGTTCGAAGTCGTCCTCGGTGCCGGCTTGAGCGCTTCGATTGATGTGTCGCTAGAAAGTAGAAAAGAACTGTCAAAATCAACAAATACACTGAACAAAAAGCCCAAATGCCAATTATGTGAAATAAAAATGTGACATTTGTGACATTATTTAATCGACTTTATTTCAGACAGAAAGAGAATTTAAGTCAACAAATATATTATAGATTTTTAAATTATGAATAATTAAATTACAACGCCCATTTATAGTATGTGTATGGAATCAATATAAATCAAACTTATTGGGGATTATGAACAAATTCAAAGAACTAGTGCCACAATATTGTGATTATATGAACAATTGGTATTATATGCCAAATCTGTCAACTATGTACATATTTCAGCAATCTAATATTTCATATAACCCTTACATTTTGAAGAGCTCTTGTGGTACACAAAGATAAGAGTAACGCCGTCTAAGACTCTGCTTAAGTAGCGAACAAGTTCTGCTCGTTAGCAACTATTTTTGAATTAATCTGAAGCTATATTTTCACAAAATATTTATTAATTTGTTGTTTCTTGTTCAGTGACATCAAAAATTGGGATGAGCATTACATGCTGACTAAAAACTAGTCGCTGAGCGGCTGTAGGTGGGCACCAATAGAACGACAGGGGAATTAGCTTGCTGGGTGTTTGTGAATAACTGGTTTATTCCCAGTCAACGTCATAACATACAGAAATCAAGAAATCTAAATAGAATCAACATAATATGCGTAGACTTTTTAAATTATTCTCGAATTAATCACCTATAAGTATTATAATAGTTTTTCTCCCTCTGTAAATAAACGACTCAATAGTGTAATTTCTCACTATTTTGGTCGTCAAGTGGACTCAATCTTATATTTTTTCACAATGGCATATCAATCAAAACACGAAGTATAGAGTGCGCTGCATTTATGATCACTTAACTATGCTTAAGTATAGACATATACGTCCACTATATTGCAATTCGATTTGTTATCAAGCGCAATCCGTTTACATCACCTTGAGCGATTTTGCAGCACAACAATAAGTATTGCACAATCATAGACACACACAAGTGTGTGTACAGTTTATGTGCTGCCCATAGTTTTTACTATATACACACATTATTAGGGGTTATCTCTAATACTGAAGTGTTTGTTCTAACCAAATATCTGTGTGAGAAGCCGAGCGTATGTTTCCATGGGTCTGTGAGATGCTTGGACTGTATGAATGTGCCAGCAATCGCATGACTAAGCCATCGTACAGATAATATTTTATTCGCACATATATATGTATAGTATAATTAAAATAAAATATGACGAAGTAAAGTCGAGTGCCATAAAGACCAATTGATCGGCCTTTCAGACTACTCGCGAGTTTGACTTGTGAAGCATGCCAATGATTTTCCAATTGAGTGATTATTGATAATTTCGCCACGATTATAATATATATATATATTATATATATATTGTACCTATAAATACTTACATACATATACTCGTATAGTATATTTGATGTAATTATGCTCGAGTCTAGCGAGGGTGTCAGAGCTTAGTCATGATGATGAAACGTTGAGGAAAGTATTTAGTCTCTTACAGCATCGAATGCTTTTCTGACGAGCTCCTCGGATTAAATATATGATATAGACATCCGAACTGTTTCTTTTTTACAAGCAAGACGGTTGTTGTTATTGCTCTTTTGACAGATAATAACAATATAACTTATAAAATGTCTACTTTTAGGGGTAAGTTATAAAAAACACATGTAAACAAACGTTGTTTAGTAAATTAGTTAGGGTTCGAGTGAAATGGAATGTCATGGGGCTACAGACCATATGCACAGATTTGCGATAAAACATTTCTTGATGTCAGTTTTTGAATGACCTGATCCAATCGAACTAAGTGTGGGAGAAGGGTTTAAGCTCTACAATATATACTACTATCAAATTAGGAAGCCTTGTCGATTGTTTTACAACAATTTACAATTTTAAGGTATTTGTAAAGAGATTACTTGAGCAATAAACGTTTATAGAAGCAAATTAAAGCGTCTGTAATTTGTAATCTAAGGAATAAACGTGGACACACGTGGGTAGACAGGCTTTTCGGTTTGGTTATTGTGCTAATAGTATAGACGTGATTATAATATCGAGTCAATAATACTTCCTCATATGAGCCAGATCTTAAAACGAAAAACAGAATATAATGCTTAGAATGGGGCTACACATTTTTGTATAACACTTAGGAAATTATAAAAAAGTACACAAAAGCTTTGGTTTTTAGTTTACAAAGCTTCACCTATCTATGTCTGTTAACTTTCCTAAAAGTTGCTAAATAGTTAATATTTATACTAACAAATACCTTTATTATTGGAAGGAATATTTTCAATATTGTTCGGCATGCGTTTGGCAGATTTATAAGAGGGCGTGTTGTTGAAGATTTTGCAGAACTCTTGCTTATAGTAAATGAAATGATTAAGTAGTTGCGTGTATATTTGAAGTCCAACTCCAATATTTAATAAATTTTTTTTGTCAAATCCGCAATGTTTTTTATATGATAACTGCCATCAGTATATGCTATACTCATAATTTATCAAATATAAAGAAAGAAAAACTCAACCCAAAGGCATCGTTAGAGTATAAAATATTCGACCCGGCCTAGTTAGCTGGCTCTCTTGTTTACTTTAATTGAGATATCACAGTCAAGGTGCGTTATTCCAACCCAAATATTATCTGAGACCGAGCCTTTATGGGAAAGACAAACAGAACATAATTGACTTCCATAAACATGACAATCATGAGATTTTCGCACTTTCTGCCACGACAGATAAGACGATCGCATTACCATGAACGAATTGCGCCAGGGAGATGTAGATGCTGAGCCGGAGGAGTACCAGGCGTTGCGCAATGGGAAGACGCCGCAAATTGTTGCCGGACTGGATAGGCCCTTGGAGAGGAAGCCCTTGGGCGAGCAGACGCGGGCAGTGCGCCGCCAGGCCTGGATGGTTATACTGGCCAATGTGGGTGTATTGTCGACGGGCATAGCCCTGGCTATGCCCACAGTGACGCTGAATCAGCTGACCAGCGCCACCGAGCCCGTTCACTTGACCCAATCGCAGGGATCGTGGTTTGCCTCGCTGCAATCGCTTTCCACGCCGCTGGGCGGTCTCTTATCTGCCATGTTGCTGGACAAGATCGGACGTGTTAAGACGCTATATGTTCTCAATATTACCGCCTTGGTGGCCTGGGCATTGCTGGCTCTGGCGCCACAGGAAGACGAGCAACTTTTCTGCACACAGCTTTTGGCATCGCGGTTTATTTCGGGTGAGTCGCAATCAAAAATCCTTTTTGCCTTTGATACATATAACTCGAAAGTAGTGACATAAATAAATTAAGTATATTGGAACTGAACGTTACACCAAAAGTTTTCTGACCTAAAAAAAAAAAATTAAACATAATAAAGATGTTCTGTTAGAAGCTAGACATTTACTATGCACCAGAAAAATCAAGTTGAATGTATTGCGAATGTGACGAGCTATAGTCTATTTTTAATTAAAATTTTGTAATTTGGTAAATGCTAAGAATATGAGCTCTATATAGTAGTTCAAAGCACATCCCTTTGAATTATGGTCTGCCCTTCTTCTACCTTTCTCTGCCATTTGCCACAAAATAATATTTGTTCTTAATCATCTCTTTGGCAGGCATTGCGATGGGCTTGGCCACAGCTCCCGTCGGCGTTTATGGAGCCGAGATCAGTCTGCCGAAGCTGCGCGGCAAACTTATTCTGGGCTCCTCGATATCGGTGGCAGCGGGTATAACTCTGCTCTATATTGTCGGCTATTTTATACGCAACGACTTTCGCCTGATCGGTCTCATTTGCTGCGGCTATCAGATTGCCTCGCTCCTATGTGTTCTACCTCTGCCCGAGACCTACAGCTGGCTTCTGTCCAAGCGCCGAGTGGAGAAGGCCAAGGAGTCGCTCAACTATTTTCGTGGGCTGGACAAATCACGTAAGTTGTTGAGTTGCCCTTTAGTTTGCAATGGTGGCTATATCTGTATCCGTATCTGTATCTGTCCAACAGCACATATCACGCATCCGGAGCTGCTGGAGGAGTTCAATGTGCTGCAGAAATCCATGCAGTTGCACCAGGGTGAGAAGAAGCCCTCGTTCATTAAGTGTTTGCGCCTGCCCGAGGTGTACAAGCCGCTGCTCATTTTGATGGGTCTGTTCGCCTTCCAGCAGCTCACCGGCATATTCATCATAATTGTGTACGCCGTGCAGATATCCATGGAGGCGGGTGTCACGATAGATCCGTTCCTTTGCGCAGTACTCATTGGTGCTTCGCGTGTAATTATGACCTGCCCCATGGGCGCAATTCTGGAGAAGTGGGGACGCAGGCGGGCGGGTATTATCTCGGGTCTTAGCATGTGTGTCTGCATGCTACTATTGGCCGGCCATGGCAGGATCGATTGGCTGGCCAAGGTGCCCTACTTGGTGGTCATCTGCATAGTGGGCTTCATAGTTGTCAGCACACTAGGCTTGTACACCCTGCCATTTTTTATGCTCTCCGAGCTGTTTCCGCAGAAGGTGCGCGGCCCAGCCTCAGGTCTTACTGTGGCCGTGGGCATGTTCATATCGTTTGTGTGCATTAAAATGTATCCCAGGATGAACGCGGGCATTGGCACCAGCAATTGCTTCCTGGTCTTTGCGGCCATGTCCTTGCTGGCGGCGATATTCGTTTATTTCGCCTTGCCCGAGACACGCGGACGTACCTTGCTTGAAATCGAAGAGCAATTCCGCAGCGGCAGGATAAGAAGAAAGAAGCCCGCCGATGTGGAGATGCAGGAGGTGTTTGTGCGCTGAGTGGCGAGAATGAGAATACAAGTGCTGTGATAATCGAGAACTCAACTAAAACTGCTTTCCCACAAATTAAGTTCGCCATATGAAACATTATATTTAGATTTCGTATTTCGATTCCAACACAAGACAATGTGTGTAGTGCGAGCCAGTTTCTAGTTTTTCACACTCTTTTTCTGTTTTGTCGCGCTAATTGAAAAGTCATAATCAATCAAGGCACGCGACAGCCTCAATAAATATGTCAGCCAGTGATTGAAGAAATGGTTTGCTAATTTTTGATCCAAACTAGTGAAAAAAGTCTCACAAAGTCGATCAAATTTTGATCAAATTTAGGGCACAACAGATGCATGGCTCTGGGACAATGGCTTGTCTGTTGATTAGACCGATATCGATATCATATTTATGAATAGCTTTAATCATTCAAAGGATAGTAATATTTTTATAAAACGAATGAGATCAAGCTGCATTTTAAAATAAATAAAATATTTATTTTGGTGCCGCTTTTATTGCAAGTAAATTTCATCCTAGAAATGTTGAAACTAGAATAATCGAAAACGTGGAAAGATCAGTACTTTTAATCAAAATTATAAAAATTATTCGACTAGAATAAGATATTTTACATATTTGAACGAATTGTTGAAAAACAGCTCAGTATGTGCGGAGAAACAATTTAAAAACAAATCAATTCAAAATTCCATTACAATGATAAAAGAAACATTCTGAACTGCTACGATTTTTTCAATGTTCAAAGATCAGAATGAAAATAATGTTGAAAATAATTGCTAAAGGTAAAAAGGCCCACGTAAATGTGGCAATAAAATCTGTTTCGTGACTGTGCGTGACGCATTTTTTTCACGCGCGCAGCTACAAGTATACTCCAAATCACACACGTACTTACATATATGTATGTACTATATATTGCCACCACTATGATCGAAAAACTGAAATCTGCATTTGAATATTAATGTTTACTTTGCACTTTAATTAAATGAAATGCAAATCAGGCCTAGAAAGCATGACTCTTATATTTGGAGCTAAAAATATTTGGTATTTATTATAGAAATTAAATTTGATTTCTGTTAATTGTTGCGCCATGAAGCAAATATAATTATAAATAAAAACAAACGTACAAATATTTGTCGGCGTTAATTAATGTAAACCATGGGGAAACAACGTGATCTTCATACCACATTCCCATACCCGTACATACTACAGCTCTACATACACACTCGTCTATGCATGCCATTCAGAATCTCTGGGAGGCATTCCACAGAGCACTACCAGTATGTCTCTGAGCGCATCTAACTCTAGCAGAATGCCAAGTACGTATTATTTTAATCAATAGGCGCGGATTTGCGACTGCTGTCGAGTTCAAGGTTAAAGTTTTACGATTCACACTTATAATGACAGGCATGGCTGGCAAGTACGAATACAAAAGCTTTGCGGGCACTTAGGTTTATTTTTAGAGCACAAGCCGGCTTTCCAAAAATGTCGGCTGATCTGTTGAGCGCTTGAGAGCATTTAAGAATGACGAGTTTGATGAAAGGATAGGATAGGCATTCAATAATTGTCTATTTGATAGAGGTTTTCTTCTTAAAGTGTTGCTTAAGCATATAATCCTCATATATTTTAAAGAAATAACTATTCCCAGTAATCCGGCTGTTTTGTGTCAACTCGTTCCCAAGCTATGTCGGATAGTTTAAAGTGGAATGTAAAGAGCGGACAAAACTGAGCCGATAAGAGCACTAGTTAGGAGCTAAGTTCTTCGCTAGCTGCCGAATGCTTAAGAGCAATTTTGGCAACACTGTTCAGATATCGAGGGAGCGCTTTTCTAGTGCGACTGGCTATGGGCCAATAAACTAGAGTCAACTTTCGATCGGCTGCAGGCACAGCTGTTTATATACAGTATGTGGTATGTTGTTGCACAAACATTTGTTCTCATTGCGAGCGATGGCGTTCCGTTTTTATAGTCCGGTCTACCCATCTAGCCCCCCACCCACGTGTCCCAATGTCAAGTTCGTTGCCAACGTCGTTCGTATTTGGGTGCGGCAGACGGGTGCGGGTGATGTTGCGTGGCAACGAAAAGCAACAAAGTGGCGGCGAGTGGTGCAAGCGCCTCAGTGTTTCAGTTCAATTCTAAATTGTACTATGAGTTGTGAACGAGCGGACGAGATAAGTGCGAGCACAGAAAGGCAGTGCCCTTCCCTTAGGTTGTGTATATAGTATGTACATAAATTTGTTTTTATTTTTTGCAAATTATTACGTATACGCCGTGTGGCACGATAAATCAATTTTTTACACGGACAGTTCATTTAACCGTGCGAGACAGTTAAATGAACGGCATGCGAGCAATAACAACAACAATAACGGCGCACTAATAACAGTCGATCACGAGTCTGAGCACAATATACAAACAGCGGGCAATTGTACTTGTATGTACACTTAAAGTTCTTTTTTTGTGAAATATTTAATTGTAATGTACGGTTTTTTTTTTCTTATTTATATTGTAAAACATTAATCGTAACCGTAGCGCCCAAAGCAGAGCAGCGACAGCAGCGTTAACATTACCGTTCAATATATTGCTGAACGGCTGGCATGCAGGCCGCGGTTGTTGGCCGGCAGGCGAAATAAGTAAATGAGTTGCGTATTGTTCGGTCGTCAGTTGCTTTAAGAGCGTTGCGGAAAGCGGTCGCAAAACGGTCGCAAAACTTCGCAAACTTGTCCAACGGTCGCTGTCGTCATCATCTCTAAGATATGCTGGCCATAACAACAATAATCCGTAATAATAAGTAGTAGCAACAAATCAAAACAGCTGTGAATACTAACACAAATGTTAACACAAAAATACGTGAAATAGTCGTTTAACAAAAACAACAAAAAGTGAGCAATTTCTAAAGTGAAGCGAAGCGTTCTTGTTGTTTCGTTACTGAAGAGGCTCTTGGCCAGCGATAATCGATAAGGAAATCAATAGTAAGCGGCCCTGAGCACGACAACAGTTGATGCACAGCGTGGCAAGGCGCGTTGCTGATAACTCACAAATATACGAGGTTTCCACCCACACACGCCCACAACAGACACGCCAAAGGAGTTTCAGCTACGGTGTTTGTTTTCGCTTTGTTTTTGTTTTTTTTTTTTTACAATTGCTGACGTCGCGACGTCGTCATAACGAATGAAAGAAACTTATGAAATCGATACTACTACTGGGACATGATTAAAATGTGCGGAAGTTTCCACTTGTCGTTTCAATTAGACAAGTGTATGGCTCGCTAATAACAGCACCAGCACCAGCAGCAGCAGCAGCAGCAGCAGAGAACAACAACAACAACATATACTCATACAATAAGCAGCAGCAACTTTTAGCTCGAAACGAAGACAGCAGTATTATTAATTGATTACGAACGCCCGCGCAGTGAGCAACATGAAGGACGAGGACGCATCACAGCTAGTGCCACAGTATAATGTTGCCATAGTGTGCAAGGACATGGACAAGGACAAGGACATGCCATTACATAATTACAATAATAACATCAACAGCACCACCAACACCAACACCAACACCAACAGCAACAGCACCACAAAATGTGACAAAACGGATGAGGTTACTGTGGTACGCCCTCCGAAGCCACTGGGCGAGCGGAGCAAGGCCGTCTGGCGACAACAGCTAATGGTCTTTCTGGGTAATAGTGGCGTTATCGGCTCTGGCATGATCATCGCCATGCCAGCCGTCACTTTAGCACAGTTAACAAATCCAGAACTGGACTTTACACTTAATAGCAACGAGGCCAGTTGGTTCGGTAAGTGTGTGATGCAATTATAATGTGGTGGATGCTCAAAAATTAAAGCCATTTACTGGATACTGCATATCCTTGCTACGCGTTTACGCAATTTAAATCTATATTACCTGACCTCGTTGAAAATTATTCATTATGATCTACTTTTTCTATTAAATATATGAAACGTGCACAAGGAGTATATTAAACGTTTTTGAATACCCTGTAAGATCGGTCCTCTAAGTACCCATGCTAGGAATGAATATTTATTTTTTTGTCCCAATCTATGCTTAAATGTTGTAAAACATATAGAGAAAGAACTCATGGGAATGAAGTTTTGGGAACTTAAGTTATCGGTTTAAAATATTAAAGTTCCGTACAACAAAGTAAAGGACTTTAGGGCAGCAACCTATATGATCCTTGCAACGATTCTTTTTATGATGACACTTAATGATTGGCCTGGCTGATCCTTTTTTAAATGAAATAGTAAATTTATCGCATGTTTTACCATGCAAACTTGCTGTTTTTATTAAGAAAAGCAGTTGCGATAACATTTTATTTTGAAAATATATTTGAAGGAGTCAATCTTGGAGACTGCTTGAATCACACAAAATCCAATCTCTAGTTTTTGTAAATTGAAAACTAACACATAAGATATTCTTAGCTCTAGTGAATTATAATTTTCATCAGAAATCCCACAAGGCTTTCTCTGAGGTATTTTCATAAAACTTTTGCTTTTATCCCATCAGTAATTTTAGTGAAAATGATTCAAATTAAATATGCCTACAAGTTTTAAATTTATAGGCAATAATTATAGACTGATGCCTAATAAACAAATTAAAAAAAATAATCACAATTGGTATCACCTTCAAAAGTATATGACAAAATGAGAGCTCTATTAAGCAGATTACCTCATTAAAATGAACATAATTCCTCTTAATAGAAAAAATTAGTCAAAAATACATAAGTTCTTTATTTGCATAACATTAGTTTTCATTGAAGCTATTTTTAGTCTGTCTGGCAAGACCGAAATCAGTCATAATGTGTGCCTTATTAACAAATGTGTTTTGTCGAGTTTCAATTTAGCAAAAAACATTTATATTGTTATATGTATTTGTGTGTGTGTGTATGCGGATTTATCTCGTTTGGTTTCACGCTCATTAATTCGGGCTCAAAAAGTCGGTTAGCAACAAATTGATTTGAATGTAATTTAATATCGTTGGCAAATGTTATTGAATTGAATTTGTTGTTCCTACAAGTATTTATTGAAAAGAAGACTCAGTAAGGCATAAATCTCGAAATGAAAAAAAGTGGTCTGTAACAAATATATTTTAATTGTAAATTAAGGTTAAAAAAAAAACAGGCTACAAAAATTGGTTGAACTTAAGATTCTAATTTATGAGCATTTACTACATTACTAAATAATTTCAATACAAATTTTAATCAATTAAAAAAATGTGGCCAAAGAATGCAACAGTTGCGATGGCTACTAAATAGAAGGAGCACTATGCCACTTACCGCAAAATCTAATTATAAGCGCATCCAGGTCCTGCAAAACCGGTCATTGCGGCAAATTACGAAATAATTTGCGAAGACTGCAACGATTAGGTTTTTTCAAAACATTTAGATAAGCATAAGCCACCACTAACTTATTAATCCTCGCGCGGAAGTACTCGAGGTTGGGCTATTTTATATTTGTAACAAGATAGAACGCTACAGTCGAGCAAGCCCGACAGTAAAATAGCCTGTACTCTCCACAAAAAGGAAAAATTAAAAAAAAAAAAAAAATTAAAAAAAATTAAATTATTAAATAAAATGAATGAATGAATTAATTAAAATAATTAATTTAATTAAATTAGAATACATGTTTATGTTCAGTTTAAACAGCACACATTTACATCACGTACCTATGCGTGTTTATATGCGTGTATGTATGCAGCACAAAGTTGAACAAAAGCAGCAACAACAACAGCTGCGGGCAGCGCTGCCGACAGAGCTGCAGGCAGCGCATGAGCAGCGATTTTACTTATGGCTATAACTTTCTTCAGAATTGACCTATCATGATGAAATTTGGCACACGGACACATTAGTACTAACTGGATGTACCTACCAAAATTGATTTTTAAATTCCGAGAATTACGGAAGTTATAAGAAAAAATACGAATTGCGGGGGAGTGGGGGGGTGTATCAGAAAAAATAAACAAACTCGTTCTGCCTAGGGCTTATAGGAACCTTGATACCAATTTTGGTTATCCTAGCTCTTGTACTTACTGAGATCCTTGCGCTCATACAGACAGACGGACAGACGGTCAGACGGACAGACGGACATGGCTATATCGACTCGTCTTCTCATCCTGATCAAGAATATATATACTTTGTGGGGTCTGCCACGCCTCCTTCTGTGTGTTACATACATGCGCACAAAACTAGTATAGCCTTTCACCCTTTGGGTACAGGCTATAAAAATATATTGCTAAGGTGCTAATCTGAATGCACGGCTTCAATGCTTTGATTAAACAGAAAAACAAAAAAAAAAAAAACAAAAAATCAATTAGTTACTCCCTTTCTCAACAGCTTCCATCAACAACATGGCATGTCCTATTGGCGGCCTGCTCGTCAGCTACTTCCTCGATCGCATTGGAAGGAAGAACACAATTCTGCTGACGAATTTAATTGGATTTCTCAGCTGGTTATTGTTGATTACATGCTTTCAACATACTGAACGCGACTGGATCTACGCCCAGCTGTTGATAGCTCGTGCCCTGGGTGGTGTTATGATTGGCATGTTCCTGTCTCCTGTGGGTGTGTACTCAGCTGAGATTAGTTTGCCACGCATCCGGGGGCGTCTCATTCTGGGCACCTCGATAGCACTGGCCTGTGGCATATTGATAATGTATGTGCTGGGCTACTTCATACGCAGCAACATCGTGCTCATCTCTACAATCTGTGGTTGCTATCAGTTTGTGTCCACACTTATGGTATTCCCGATGCCGGAGTCGCCGAGTTGGTTGTTGCAGAAAGGACGAACGGAGAATGCACGCCGTTCTCTCAAATATTTTCGGGGACTGAAACGCAAGAGTAAGTGAAATATTAATTACTGCCTTCTTCAGACTTTCTTGATCCATTTTAAAATCAATTACTAGTGAAACGACTTTCTTACTTAAGTTTGTGTGGAAAATAGTAAGTTAGGTTCAACAAGTACAAGGTTAGGAAAGTACTTCTCATTAAGTTAAATGGGGAAACAAAATGCGTGGGAAAGTCCACAATCCACACTCCTTTTTGAACAAATTGCTGGGCTTTTACAAGCCCATAAAAACTTGATGTAAATGTGAAATTATTTTGATAATACCTACAAGTACCACTAGACTGCCAACTATTAAAGAAATGAAATTTAGCTGATTTTTGCTAGCCAGCAGAGGAAAATTCTAGTTAGTTTATTTAAATATCGTCTGCGCTTTTCTGGCTTCATTTTTCGAAAATATTGTTAACTTAAATCATTTAAATGCAAGTGAGGAACGGCAGCCAGCTGGTATTGATAAGGCATATCATATCAAATCACGATTCCGAGAAAAATTCAAGCTATGTGCTTAACTGCAAATTTGTGCCCCTTTTAAAAGGCATTTTCTGTTTTCGTACGAGCTTAAACACAGTAATTGTTTGCAGTTTGCATTTTCGTGCCTATTCCACTTAAATGGAATGGAATCCATTTGGTGTTTAGAATTCCGCAGCAATTTAACATTTTTCCGCTAAAATGAAGCTCACATTTTTTTTTATTGTATAGTGATTGTAGAAGCTATCAGTGTAATCCATTTGATATTTAGAATTTCGAAGCAATTTAACATTTTTTCGCTAAAATGAAGCTTACATTTTTTTTATTTTTTGTATAGTGATTGTTGAAGCTTTCAATGGAAGCCATTTGACGTTCAGAATTCCGCAGAAATGTACAATTTTTTTCCCTAACATGAAGCTCACATTTTATTTGATTGTATAGTGATTGTAGAAGCTTTCAATGGAATCCATTTGGTGTTTAGAATTCCGCAGCAATTTAAAATTATTTCGCTAAAATGAAGCTTACATTTTATTTTTTGCATAGTGATTGTAGAAGCTTTTAATGGAATCCATTTCGTGTTTAGAATTTGACAGCAATTTAAATTTTTTTTCGCTAAAATGCACATAATTTTTTTTTTTTTGCATAGCAATTGTAGAGTCTTTTAATGAAATCCATTTGATGTTTAGAATTTCTCAGCAATTTAGCATTTTTTCGCTAAAATGCAGCTTAGATTATTTTTCTTGCATAGTGATTGTAGAAGCTTTTAATGACCTCAGATTTGTAAAACAAACCAAAAAGTTTTGGAATTAAAGCATGGCGGAATGTTTATCACAATGAAAACGTTCTTCGTAAGAGAGGCGTTTTCTGGATTAAGAGATATTTTAGATTGATCTGAGAAAGTCTGAACTAGGCATAACTGGCTAAAGTGAATTTCTGAGCTAACTAATACGTATTTATTTGAATAGGTGACGATTGCGTGCAAGAATTTGAAACGGAGCTGGCGGAAATGAAAGTGAATGCGGACAACAGTCGGAATACAGCGGCCAGCGAGTCCTTGCTACAGGCTATACGTAGACCCGAGGTATACAAGCCAGTGTTTCTGATTATTGGCTTCTTTGGTTTCCAACAAGCCTGCGGAGTGGTGGTCATCATCGTCTATGCTGTTCAAATCGCACAGCGAGCCGGCGTAACCATAGATCCTGTGCTCGTGGCCGTTATGCTGGGCGTGGCACGCATCATAATGACCTTCTTCATGAGCACGATCTTCGAGAGATGGGGTCGCAAGCCGTCGGGCATGTTCTCGGCTTTCGGCATGGGTCTCTGCATGTTGCTGCTTGCTGCCGGCGGCTGGTGGCCAAAAACTGTGGGAACCTGGTCGTGGCTACCTGTCGTGTGCATTGTGGCCCACATCGTCTTCTCCACCATGGGCATGTTGACGCTGCCGTTCCTCATGATCTCTGAGGTGTTCCCACAGCGAGCACGAGGCAGTGCCTCTGGCATCTCGGTGTTCTTTGGCATGATCCTGGCCTTCATAATGCTCAAGATCTATCCGAATATGGAGGAGGCCTTTGGCACCGCAAATCTGTTCGGCTTCTATGCTGGAGTTTCATTTCTCGCTGTGGCATTCATTTGGTGTTTTGTGCCAGAGACGCGGGGAAGGACATTGCTTGAGATTGAGGAGTATTGGCGCACGGGAAAGGGTGAACGTGCGAATAACCTCAAGGATGTGGAGCTGACGGAGGTCTTCCTAAAGAAATAAGCGGAAAATTTAGTGTTAGCTATCGACTGTGATGTGTTTTAAAGTACTTAGCCTGAGTAGTACTTAGTACTTAGTAGAATTCGTCAGCAAATAAACAATGGACTAATTCAAGTGTATTGTCTCGAATGGAAGGTGATAAAGAATTTATTGCACAACCACAAGGCCAATTGGACTTGGCCCAACGAATTTCACAAAAGACATTGGCCCTTATCTTTTGCAAGCTGCATGACTAGACATTACCTGACGTCAGATTATGTTTTGACGATTGATTGAACACGCGCTCTAATTGAGTTTGATTGAAAACGTGCTGCTACGGCTATGATTATCAGTCCTTAATGGCAACGACACTTGAATGGTTTGTTTACCACTCGAAAAACAACAAAAGAACAGACTGTTAACAGCAAAACAATTTGTGCGACCCGCCTGGGATTTGGAATGAAGAGATCACGATACATCGTTGTATTATTGTTCTTCATATACTTGTATATAGGATATTAAATTGCCGTACAAGAGCAACTACAGCAATTAAGTTAATGAAATTATGCTATGTCTCATGACGACGATGTATAGGAGTGCATAATATTTGCCAAGGCCTCTCATTAAATGCGCGCGCGCTCCACAAACTCCCGGCAGGCAGTCAGCCCCAAAATGTTTCGCCACATTTCGCTGTGGTCATTAAATAAACGTAAAGAGGCAGCAACAGCAGAACGAGATCCGAAATCCAACTGCACTGTGGGGCAATATACGATTTATTCAATTTGTGCATCTTCCAATTAATTGGAGGTATGCGATAAGAATGTGTAGACTACCACTTGCAATCTCAAATGTTATAGTTGTTATCATATAGTTATTATCAAATAACAATTGTCGGCTATCCAATTAGAAGTAGATAAGAAATACGGGAGATAGCAGATACAAAACAGATATTGCAAAAAGTATACACATATATGTACAAGTAGGTTAATAGGTGATAGCGATAAAGTATTTTTACTCATGAGGTAGCAAAATCTTACAAATTTATTGCACGCCATCAAATAACGATTAATACTTATAAAGCTTTCAAGTAAACAACATTTTCCTGAATGACTGTCAATAGTGGTTCAATAAATAATATCAAGAGCTCGAAACTTTATCAAACAACAAAATTCTAAATAAAAGCAAACAAATATAATTATTTTTAAATGAATCCTTTATGTGTTGGTTATACCTGTTAAAAATTATTAATGTTTTTGCTTATTGCCAATAATTGACTTAGAAAAATATATTGTTGATGATATGCTTGAAATCGAATAACAAAATGTTTAAATAAACGAATCATCCTATAAATTAAGAGATCTGTAAAACATTCAACGATTTAACTCAACTCATTGTTGTTATCTACATTTTTCAAAAGTGGATTTTCTTTTCAAAATTACAAACAACTGAGTAACTTTCTCTAAAACGGTCCAACTACAAACTTGTTGACTTGATATTCGGAATGAGAAACACTTTTAAAACCAAACTCTATAACTGTGAATAGAAATAAGAGAGAGAAGAATATTTTTCACTATCAGGTTAATGCGCTGAAAAACTCAATATTGAATAAACATTTAAGAACCGATCAAAACTTTATAAAATATGAACATTTTGTAAGGAAATTGTTATTTTTAATCATATTTTCCTATGTTAAACATACTTGTATATTAAACATAAATTAAAAGATATAGCCACCCGCTCCTAGAGCAATCTTCGCCTGAAGGGGTTTATATTTGTCTGATCTCATCTCGTTTTAACATTTCAATTTTATTAAAACAATTGGCGCACTATGTTATGTACATATATTTGTATTATCGGAAAATGTAATATAAATTTTCGTTTATAAAGAAATAACTTATCAGTTTTGACACAAATTTTTCTTTAATTTGAATGGTTTGTGCCTCGATTTCAAGCAACATTATCAATAACAATATCTTGGTAAATTATTTTTTAAAAGAACAATCAACAATCAATTGTATTTATTATTTCGAATTTTCGGCTCAAGTTTTCCTTTAACTTGATTATTTTGTTACTCGATTTCAAGCCACATTATCTTTAACAATATGTTTCTAAATTGGTTTTTAAAGGAACCATTTGGGGTTGCTTCTGGGACCATCATTAAGAAATTCCTCCGAAAGGTGTTAAATGAAATGGTGCACTAACAAAGGGGTGTGGTTTTAAAACACTTATATTCATTATTACATGTAAGTATTATTGCTATATTGTATGCGATGAGTCGAAATACATTTTGTATGTTGAACCCAGTGTGCAACGAAGGATGCTGCAGTTATCGCTTCTTTTCAGCCAGTGGGGCTACTGATGGAGCCCCAGTTTGGAGCGAGCGGCGTGCGCTGAGAGCGCTAAAGAGCAAATGAGCTCGGGGCGTTGAGAAGTACGAGTACGTTTATGTAATTATAATAAGTTTTCAATTTTATGGCTCAATATTGCGGGCAGGGCCCAGCAACTTGCCACAGCTGCTGTGCTGTGCGCCAGCCCCCATCATTAGGCGACAACCGTTTACCGAGACTGTTGCCCCTGGAGGGTCTAGCGTGAGGTTTTCGTTGGTTTTTGTGAGCTGCATTTGGGTAATGGCTGCTCAAACAAATTGGTTGTGCGATTAAATCAAAGTGCAGTACATGGCGCTGCAAGAACGGACAAGTTGAATGAACCCGTCAGCGGATCGACAGGATAACCAAAATTGATGAGCTGTAAATGTGCGAACATTAAGCATCCGCTGTTGCATTATAATCATAATCTCTGAGTCGCCACCGACATCGACATCGACACTGGGACCGACACCTGCTGCAAAATTAGGCACACACAGCAGCATCAGTTATTGCCACAAAAGTGAGCATTGCGGCAAATAGAAATATCATTGCAAATGTCAGCAGCTTCTCGACTCGACTCGGTCGATGGGTCGGTAGGTCCAGTTGGCATCATTCCGAGTTAATGACACGTAACGTTGCTTTGCCAACAACATGAATGTATGTCAGCAATGTCAGCAACTCTTGCAACACAATTGAAAACGAATCTGAATGCGTATCTGACTCTGCCACACTCACCGCAACAAAACATTTAGGGATGTCAGGAGCCTGGCATATGCGCACTCTAATAACTGCAATCTGTGCCGAGTCTGAGCAGCAAGAATGGTCGGATGCTGAGGCGCTGAAGCATAAAACCCAAACCGAGGTATAATTTTCTATGCACCCAGGCAGGGCACACAGTCAGCATTGTTAGATAGTTGTTGAAAATTTCGGGGGGTTGTCATCCTCATCCTCATCCTCATCGTCCTTCCCATCCACTTCTGTGTCAACACAGCATGTCGCGCGTGTTTGGGTTTTGTTTTGATGCGATTTTGATTATGTTTATAGTATAAGCCAATAAATTTGAAAATCAACACAGACATTACTTCTCTTTGTCCGTTTACTAGAAAAATGTCCACACCGAGTTATTTAAATGCTTTATTTATGTCGTATGCTGTTGCAATTGAATGCAATTCCCAATGACTGCGAAGAAGCGTAAATTTTTCTATTATTAATACTACACAAGTATATTTTGGATTAAACTGTAAGTCAAGTTTTGGGCTACAAGGTATAAAAAATTAACTAATTATCAAATATATGTAGCCCAAGTATGTGTACCCTACATCAAGAGCAGATTTCATTTAAAGCTTAAAACTTCAAAACAAAAGAATATTTTAAAGTAAGCAATGCTTCAACAATGATGTTAATTCGTCTGCCACACGATGCAGGGAAGTTTGATGGATAGGTTGCAGGGGACAGGTTGCAGGCTGCATAGATTATTTTAAAGTTAGTAATACTTCAAAATTGATATTAATTGCTAATGAAACATAAATTTACGATACATATCTTTTTTTGATTTTTTGCTTATCTAGAATTTTATAAGAAAATTATACTTCATATTCATAAGTAAATATGGATACGCATCTCATTTGTTTAGCGCAACTGTTTTAACTAATAAGGGAATAATTTGATCATTTCCAGGATGTATTTATCTGGAGCTTCAAATGCTCCAATAAGTACTAAGATTTATCTATGAGATGTGAGGCAGGCAGAATTGCAGATCTTTAAGACATGAGAGCAATAAAATAGAACCATTGACGTAATTCCAAAGAATCTGGGACACACGCACATTTGGTTTGCTGTACTAGCTGCAGGATTATTGCATAGAATATCAATTTTCCCCATATAAGGGCTTCTTAAACTTACAGCATACAACTCAAGGCAGGATCTTTAATGGAAGTTGATTTGCACCATATTATTTATTTATTCATTTGAAAATAATACTGCCATTTTATACAGCAAAGAAAAAAAATCGTATAACATTAAAAAAACAGAATTTAATATTTAAGAAGTGTAGCAATACAGTATAAATCTTGAAGGGTTATTTCACAAGCGAAATACGAGTATTTGCTGAGATATAGAATGTGAATGCCCACGGTCCAGGGAACGAGCCAGCGCTTTGCAGAATCAAACCTTATAAGGCTCGCGGACAGAAGATGGAATGAATGTCATCGGCTAGAAAATGATCCGATTTAAGAGTATGATTTATTTTTTAATTTCTTATCTTTCAATATATTTATAATTAACTTAATAAAATGCCTAAGCTCGGACAGATTGTAAAAAGTTACTTATTTTAAATACAAGTATACTAGTATGTCTATTTAAAGGATGATATTAAAATAAGCTCCACAGCTGCTAACATTATTGGCTGGGTCTTAACTGCAGATCTTACATTGCAAAATGACATCGTTAAAACGCCCCAAGTGAAACGCCTTTGGCAGCAATTTGTAAGTTCACTTAATGCACTTATAATTTGTAAGTACTTGCAGGGAACAAGTGATTGGGTCTCAAGCCTAACCCTTCCCCCAGCAATACACCGACTAAGACCAACAAACCCCTTGGCTTAAAACAAACTCGCGGGACGTTAACAGATCGCCCAGGCTGATTGCACACCTCAACATAAATGTGAAGTGAGCGCTGAAAGCGTCGCTGATCACCGCTGATCGACATCATCAGGATGGGGATAAGGAAGAGGGGCAACGGGAGTACACAGCACGAGACTGCAACTACAAA